AATCACTGGCATTTATTTATTTATTTATTTATTTATTTATTTTTTGGTATCACTGAGATAGATATATATCGCCAGAGCTAAGGGCAGAACTCTATGTCACTCCACTGGAGACCTCCCTCCAAATTAACTGAGAACCATGAATCAGGCCTTCCTACATAGAGTTACACAACCAACAGCAAGGAATTATGTGCTTTACTTACAATATACGGTGTCTGTGGCCATCAGTTCCCTTCACTTTGTACCTGAAACACCGAGGGTGCTCAACCAATACCTGCTGCATTGAAATTGAATAAAATTATCTTGATTCATACCCCTAATGACTCTACTTAAAGAAAGTTAACATGGTCATTTTAACGGGGCATGATCATGAACCCATGTTGGCTGCTAGTGATCACTGTTTTCTTCTTTAAATGTTTATAAACCTGTTTCTTCCAGGGTTTTGCTAGAGAGTAACAAAAATGCTACCAATGTTACTCCTGGAATCCATTCCTTTCTGCCTTATAAAAACTGGGGCAATATTGCCCCTATCCAGTCTTTGGATACTCTCTTACCTTCCTAAAAACTTTAAGGACTCTAGTAGCTGCTTAAGCCTCATGGGTCTTGACTCCCTCTTCTCCCCAGTAGGAATAATACTGACCCTTTCCATGCGGCAGAGCTGTGTAAGGATCCAGGAAGACGGGAAGACACTGGGCACAGCTAAAACAGTCACGTAGGGTCTCACATAGGAGCCATGTGGATCCTTGTAAGTGCAGCACCAAAACAGCACAGTCACATCCTGCAGCCCCCAAAGTCAATGCCACAAGGGAGACCAGACACCGTATGCACCCCAGGAGACTCCCAGCAGGGCTGAACCTATCATCCTGGTCCTGCTGTTGAAGAGGCTTACAAACAACCCAATAAGAAGCTGAGCCAGAACACAACAGAGACTGCACCCACCGAGTTTTCTCCTCTCTTCTTCTTTCTGTTCCTCCTGCCTTGTTCTCAACTTTCCGCTCCCTCTGAATCAGTGCGTTAGTGACTATAACTGCAGTAGCTACTCAGGAAGCTCTCCTGTAGGCAGTTAACCAGGGCAGAAGCTAAGAACCTGGGAGAACAGCGTGATGCCCAATTTGCCAGCCTTTTCCACCCCCTGCCTCCCGCAGGTGTCTGGACTTGGATGGGGATGTGCAGAGGACACATTGCCCACAATAAAAATATGAAAGGAAAATATCCACTCTCCTCAACCTATAGGAACCTGCCCTGGGCTCAAACAATGCTTGATAAATGCAAGAATAAACTCCAGTAACCTACCCTCTGTAGAGAGGGGATCACATCCACAAAAATTCTTTATACCCTTTAAGTCTCAGGATATTTACAACAAATATTTTGTTAGCCACAATTTTGTCTTTTCTCTTTCTCCCAAGACCCAGTGAGGCTGCTGAAGGCTCACAGACAGTGATTAAAGATGTGTGCAAAGATTTAGACATGGCAATGCTCACTGATACTGCCTATTATAAGGGAAAATTGGAATCAACCTGTATGTCCAACAAAAGAGGAGCGTTTGAATACATTAGGTTGCACCCATACAATAGAATATTGTGAAGCTATTAAAAATCACATTGTCAGAGACTGGATGGAATGATGTTCACAATGTACTGTTAAAAGGAAAACCCAAGTTACAAAAGCAGAATACCACAAAAGGAATTTTTTTCAAAAGATATGTAACATTTGTTGCAACTGGTGGAATTATGAATGAATCTAAAATTTTTCCTTTTTATTGTTTATATGTGTTTTCCAATTTTTCTACAGTGATGTGAATTGCTGTGGAAATAGGGTGTCGGGGGAGGGACAATAAAACTTATTTTTGCTAGCCAGAAAGAAAGAGGAAAAGCCCACTCTTTGAAGGCTGACTTCTGGCACATTGTTCTGCCCAGTGGGTATGAAACCAGCTCAGACTCTGCTGTCCAGCTTGCCTAGAGCCCCATGGAGGCCGCCTTGGCTCTGGGCAGAAGCTGCTTTGGTACCAGCATCCACCTTGAGACAAGTTATTAAAAATGGAGCTGTCCTGGCCAGCCTCTCATCCTGAAGTACCAAGGGCCACTTCAGCTCAGAGAAACGGCCGTTCCAGAGCCCTGTGGGTTTTTGAAGCAGAGCAGCAGTCCTAGCTTGTGAGAGGAACCTCCCTCCCGCCTCCCAGCTGCCTGCCGAAGGTTTGCAGACAGCTCCCTTTCCTTCCCACAAGAGGAGACAGGCAGATGAGTCATAGCACTGGCTCGGATTAAAGAAGTATTATTGTGTTAGCAAAAATGGATGTATTTTATTATCTGTTTCTTGACACCTTACAAATAGATATGTTTTTCCAACCAGACAGGCAAGTTCCTTAAAAAGCCAACAATTTCGTTAAGCTGAAGATAAAGAAATGACCAACAAGAGTGAGAAACACGTGTCTGAAGAGCAGCCAGACTGAAAAGATGTAGCGGAAACACTGAGGAAAGTGGTTTATAACCCTGACGCTAGATTCAAGTCTGCAAAGTGATGCCATTCTTCTAAAAATACACAGAGGAACTATGGAAATCCTTTCCTCTTTTCTAAGAGCTTTCCCTCTGGTTCCTTTTTTAAAGAAATATACTAGGATTGGTTTGTAAAGGAGATTAAAGCATGGATTTCAGTTTTCATGGGGGTAATGGTGGTGGGACTATTTTGAGGACTTCCTTCACTCACACAGATTTTTCCACACTGGGAGAGAGCAGATAAGGTATGTTCCACTGATGTTCCTCATTAGACACACACGCACGCCAGCAGTCGTTTCCTCTCGTCTTGCTATCCCATGACAACAGACGGCGTAGCATCGGAAATTGGAATGGAGACCTTATTTTGTTTGGATCTCTCTTCTCCATTGTTTAATTCCACACTCCATTTTTCATTCTATATATGCTTTCTTTGCAGAAATACACTATGACTGGATATAGAAACAGATACATAAATAAAGGTTATTTGTTAAAGACTCACCTAATAGATTTTTCAGGAGCACTTTAGCCAGCAGGGCCCCGCACTCATTTCACCTCTGGGCTGAGAGGTACTAGGTACTAGTAAAGAGCTGCTGACCGACACGAACATATGTGTTATGCATGTGTGTTCCTGGTACTCTGCTTACTGTTGATAAAGGTCCAGTGGTGAGCTTCCCTGTTTCCTTTATGGCTGTGGTGCATAGATGTTTTGGTGGTGTTTGGAGGAAGCTGGATGCCTCTTCAGTCCAACATGCTCTGTCCTCTGACGCTGTCTTTGTTGTTTTTCCTTAAGATGGCAAAGCTATGATGACAAACCTTTAAAATGATCCCAGCTACCCTATTTTTCTGACTATAAGATGCACCCCCCCTTTCCCCACCCCAAATTTGGGAGGAATAATGGTTGTTAATGCTGCTGTTGAGTTCTGTTTACATTTACATGGATGAAATATTATGTTATTTATGTTATTAAATATTTTACCACATTTTTTGCTTCAAAAATTTGTTTCCTATTTTCCTCTAAAACCTAGGTGCGTCTTATGGTCCGAAAAAATTTAAGGTGTTTGGGGGGTTTTTGAGTATCCACTTTTCCAAATGTTACCATGACTTTTTTCATTAAAAAATGTGGTTGTAAATATTTTGTTTTTCTAAAGGGGATCTGTTAGATCTACGAATGAATGTTCTCCCCACTTACCAAACATGCACCATGCACCACACATTGGGCAGTAGCTTCCACACTCATGAGTTCATTTACGCCCTTACAGGCCCCTATGGAGCTGATGCCAACACATGAGAAAACCAAGGGAAGTTAAGCCATTTGCCCAAGATTACACGTTTGCAGTGGGGGGGAGGGGGCTCTTCCCATCCTTCCATTGAAATCCATCCCACTTTTACCAAAGTTCGTGTGTTTGGCCGTCCAGAAAACACTTTCTGAGAACTCGAAGTAGGGCTGCATTTGCACTCTTCGAAGCCCATGTCTCATTAAAGGAAGCAGCCCCCAGCTGACAGAGAGGCCATACTCTCTCGGGAGGGACACTATGCCCTAGCAGTTCGGAGCAGGTCTGGGCATCACACAGCCTTGATTTCAAGCCTCTGCTCACCCACTTACTGGACCTCACATCACAGGAAAGTTACCTACCCTTTCCGAGACTCAGTTTCCACCTCTATAAAATGGAGATAACAGTACAGATTGAATTCTATAAACTTGTCAATTTGCAAACACTTCTGACCAAAAACCCTTTCAAATGGCTCTACCTAAGTTTGTCACTGGGTCGTTGTAGACGTGCACTCAATACTTAGTGATTTTTAGTAGACTTTCTCTTCAGATTTCATTTTGCACAGGTCAGTAAAGTTAGCCTGTATTCTCTGCCTACACTGGTATGCAGAGAAGCTGGCCTGAGGTAATGCAGGTATTGGAGTTGATAATTCAGGAAGGCAATAAGGTTGTGTGGATAGTCAAGAATTAACAACAAAGAATCACCTAAGGCCCTACTGCTCCGTGTTTTTTATCCCTTAGTCTGAATTACTGAAGAAGGTTACAAATGCTTTTTTTTTTTTTTAAGAAAGTGGAAGGAGGGGGTATTGAAGAAGTTTAGCACTCTGTGTTAAAGACAGAGAAAGGGTGTTAAATCAATTCTTGCCCCTCCGGCAGGGCAGCCCTTGCCTTTCATGTGCGCGAGGAGGGCCATAGCCCTGGCTACCAGCTCCACAGCCGCACCACCCCGCCCCGCCCACGTCTGGAGAAGAACCGCCGAGTTAGCATTACCTTCCTGGCGTTGTTTACTTTCTGGGTACCAGGCCCTGCTCTTGGACCCTTGCTTGCATTATCTTAGGTACTGCCCCACAACATTTCAGACAAAAGGGAACTCTCATTTTTTTTTCCATTTTCCAAGAGGAAACAGAAGTTGAGTGACTCCCCTGAGGTCTCCAAGCGGTGGAGCCACCCTTGAACAGAGCAGCCCTCTCACTTGGAACCGCATCTTTTCCTAGTTAGGCGGAGGCACCGTTTCACCTAAGAATCCTCCAAACTTGGCCACTACCCCCAAGAGCAAGAGTACGACTTCGTTGAGCTCCGCACGTTCCGGGCTCAGGGCGCCGGGCGGGCGCGGGTAGGAGGAGTGGCGCCGCCCCCGGGGTATTTAACCCCAGTCTGGGGCCCGCGGGGCGCCGGCCGCCCCGGCTCCTCGCTGATCGCACCTCCCCTCTCCCCTCCCTGCTCCCTCCCGGCGCGCCCCACCCTCTGCCCAGCGCTCTCCTCCAGCGCAGGCACCGGCCGGCGGGCGCCTGGAGCAGGACACCAGCGGCGCTCGTCGCGCACTGCCCACACCGCACCACCGCGGCTGACCGCGCTGAGCGCGCCGGACAGCCCGAGTCGGGACGCCGGCCCAAAGCGCCCCGCAGACGGGCGGGCGGCTGTGAACGCCCGGCCAGCAGCTCACAGCATGGATTCGGATTCCGGGGAGCAAAGCGAGGGCGAGCCGGTGACCACTGCAGGTACTGAGGGGTCGCGGCAGCCCAGCGGGGAGGGCTGGGACCGGGAGGAGGCGAGGACAGGGCAGGAAATCTCGAGTGTTTCCCCGAGCTGCAGGAGGGAGGCCGATCCCCAGCAGCTCGGTTCGTTCCAGGGCGGGACCAGCGATTGCTCAGCGCTGGGAGTTTGCTTTCGGGCTTTCTCCCCCTTCGCACTTGGGCGCGCGGGAGGCACAGGGGGTGCATTTGCGTGTGCCTCCCACGCAGCGTGGCTCTTGCAGCAGTCTCGGGTCACCCGGGCTGTGTGGGGGTAGGGAAGGGTTCTGGAAATCCGAGTCCTGTTGTTAGCTACAGCGAGGATCACAACACATTGCCTTTTGAAATAACTTTACGAGCCCTAGCCCGCCCTCGAGCCCAGGGTGCCGCAGTCGCTGCGGGCCAGGTGACCCAGTGCGAGGATGTGAGTGGGGACTCGGGAAGGAACAGCCCTGGACAGGCGGAGGTCAAACCACAGCTACTGACTGAGGTTTCCGAGGCTGCTAGAGGAGCCCGTGCAGAAGCATTCCCTCGTCGCCTGTCCCGCACGCGCGCAGGAGGTCCCGGCCGAGAGGGTCCCGGAGCACAAACGCTGGGGCGCACCCGACCCCGCTTCGCCTTTAAGAGGCGCCGCCGGCTTTTCACAATCGATAGTTATTGAAGCAATGGGTGGATGCTTACTTAGGAAAAAATGAATGTCCTCCCCCGCCTCTCCCTGATACTGAGCAACAGGAGGAAGCCACCCACAGCCTTGGGTCGACTTACTGCTGGGCTCCGCCTGCCGCCCTGAGGTCCACGCACCAGAGACCAGAGTGCTTACGCGTGCCCTCCTTTTCGCCGTCCTGTGTGACCCTGAATGCTAGCCCTGGCCAGCAGACCTGTGACCTGAGTGCTGGGACTCACCTGGTACAGACCCAAGGTCCTGGACTAGTCCCCACTCTTCCCAACGTCAGGCCCATATCCTAAAGGTGGGGACCAAGTGACAAGAGGCACCGTCAGCCCAGGAATGCGTGTGGGAAAGGCAGGCTCTGGAATCAAGGGCTCTACACGTATTATTCCCCTTCATCTTCACAGCACCTAGCCAGGTGATTATTGTGGCTTGCCCACATCTCACAGCCAGGGAATAGCCAAGGGCAGAGTGAGGCCCTTCTCACTGCATCATACCCCTGAGCCTCTCAAAGGGCAGCTGTGGTCAACACCTTCAGGTGGGTGGATGGGAGGCAAAGAGACTGCAGAAAGGACAGGTGGCTTCACCAAGATGCCTGGTGAGAGGATTTCTCTGTGTGTGCAAGGGCCACCTGCTTGGTGTAGGTATGTGTAGACATAATTAATAAACATGAGCCCTTTGCCTACGTGTATGTTTCTGTGGCTATGAAACACCAAGATTTTGTTTCACAGGTGGCTTGTCGATCTCACATCATTTAAAAGTTCCAGTGGGTGTTTTGTGTGTATCTAAGTATATCTTCAGAACTGAAGGAGGGGCAGTGACACTGACACTTGCTTGCCTCTCTCAAAATCCCAAGAACTAACAGGCTTTCGCTGCCCCCACCTTCAGATCTCCTTTGGGGTTGATGGAGAGGGACAGGAGGATTAGGAGGCTTAGAGAAGAGAGGGGAGGAGGAGAAGGGGGAGACACTATAGAAGAATCAGTACTTGGGTAAAAGGGAAGGGAAGGAGTTCTTAAGGGTCTTGTTGCTTCTTCCTCCAGCCTGCCCAGCACTGAGTGCCTGCATGTGGTCACCTCTGTGTTAGAAGGTCTCTGCACAGTTAGCAGCAGGCATGACCACTGAAGTCAGATGGTTCCGTGAAGAACAGGGCAGCCAGCTCTTGTGAGCTGTCACCATGCATTTGTGCCTTACTGTTTCCTACCATCATTTCTTCTTTCTCCGTGAGCCTGAATTCTGCAAGTTGAACATTTATTTGAATGTCACAAGCCATTCTGCTAAATGACATTCAGTCTCATTATTTTCAGTCTTAAAGTGTTCTTTGTGACAAAGCTTCAAAGCTTGATGCTAATTCACCATCTTGCTATGGTTGCATCCTGTTCAATGGGGACTCTGCTACAGATCCAGATATAAGTTAAATGACAGGTATATTACTCACAGGGGCTATAAGGAATGCAGCATTCCATTGGACTCTATCTGTTCAAGCTGGACAGGTCTGTAACTGAGAAGGACAGGAGAGCAAGTGCGACCTCTTAGAATATTCATGTGTGCGTGTAGCTACTTCACAGGGAGTTGAGATATAAAGGCTCCTTCCTCCTTGGTGCCCTGCCCTTCTTGAACTTGTGTAAAAGCCCTGCCCTAAGATGGGCCTTATTAAGGTCAAGAACCTGGACTGTGGATCAGAAAGATCTAGGTTTCAGTATCTACCCAGTGAGCCAAGTAACTTTGCCTCTTCAAACCTCTGTTTCCCTCTCTATAAAATGGAGTAACAACAGTACCACAAGGGGATTGCGAGGATTAAGTAAAATAACACATGAAAACGATTCAGTAAATTTGATTATCACCCGATTGGATTATGGGTTATAAGAAATCTACTAAATAATGAATGTATCCTACTGCTTTGTAAAATGTAAACCATAGACATGAATAAGACAATTAGTATTGTTGTCATTATTATCACATTAACATAATTGTCTCAGGAGATTCGTTTTTGGTTTTCTCCCTCGTACTCTCTTCTTCTCTCTGGTGTGTGTGCATGCGCATGTACACGTGCATGCGTGCGTGTGTTTGCTTGTTTGTTTGGGGGAGATTATTTTTATTTTACATCTTTTCATCCTCATCACCTTCCAGCTCAAGGCATTAAAACAGGGACTTTTAAATCTACTGCTTTCACCACCCTTTTTCTCCAGCTCTGGGGAAGGGTGCAAAAAGCAGAGAACCCCTTACCCAATCCACCTGCTCACCTGGAGATGAGCCACTTTCATGCCACTTCAAATAGAAGAAGAGGCTGTAAGCCTCCCCGACACACGTATTTCCCTTCCAGGTAGTGAGGAGGCACAGGAGGTACTCACCATTCTCTCTTCCATTTTTGCCCATCTCACCGGTCACAAACTGACAGAGGAGTGAGGAGACCTCCAACGACCACCTACACTTTACCCCTTTCAAGAGACTTTCCCAAAGATCTCCTCAGTGCCTCCTCTGTAGCTCTCTCATCTAGCAACACCCTCCATCAGAAGGTGAAGGGGGGTGAGATTTGTCTCAGTCTGCATGTTCTGTTATTCAGGAAGCAGGGGATGATGCTTCTATGTCATTCTGCTGCCTGCGGCTCCTCTGCCTTTCTCTTATTTTATGGTTCTTTCTATGATTAGGAGAGAAGCAGGGTTTATGGAACACTGGATTCATTCCAGAGACCCAACTGGCAGTCTCTCCTTTGGCAAACCCACTATTCATCTCTCAGAAACCCTAGAGCTTGGTGTATTAACTTGGCAGTGTTTCCAAAGATGCAACAAGCGAGTAAACATTAGCAGTGTCAGCTTTTTCCCTTTCTGGCTTATAAGACCAAGATCGTCTACCCAGCCGAAGGCAGACAAGCTCCATCACAGCTGGCTGTTCCAGGGTAGCCAAGCTGATGGGGCATCCTTGCGGCCAGGTAGGTACTGCAGAAAAGCATTTCCGTGTCATGGAGAGAGGATGTGGTAAGTGAAGTTGAAGACAATCAAGGAAGTGCAAAAAACAGTAGGCTTCTAACATGGGCTTTCCTGCTCTCTGCACCCCCTAGGTCCTAAGCTGGGTCCACATGAACAAAGGGGGAATGAGTACATAGGATTCTGTCGGCGGCCAAGAGGAGGAAAGGTGTTTCAGAAGTCAGATATCACTTGAGCAAAGGCACAAATAAACAGGAAGGCAACTGGGGTGTAGGGCATATACTAGGCAGTACTGGGAAATAAACTTAGATGAGTATAGGGAGAACCACTTATAAGAGGGTCTAAATAACTTGGTTCTGTTGATGCTGAACGAACGCCCCTGAGCTGACTGCTGAGCAGAGATGTGACCAACTGAGAGCTGGGTTTGCAGAAGCCACATTTGACAGACATGAAGTGCCGGGATGACCTAGGCTTGGGCCTCAGCTCTCAGGATGTGGCCACAATCGGAGAGGGTGGTAGCGGGTAGCACTAAGGCAAGGCAGGAGAGGAAGGATGCACATGCCATTTCAGAGAAACAAGCAACAGAATCTGGTGACAGACTGTACAAAAGCTGTGAAAGGAAGGGAGAGTGGAAGGAGACTGGCATGCTGAGTTTGGGTAAGGGCAGGGAAATGCAGGAGACTGGCTCCCAGCCCCTCTTCCCCAGGTACTTAGCGATGTTTGGTTTAAAGTGCTTTGCCCCGATAGGCAGTAAATTGTACCAGAGCATTGGTTTGGGGGAGACGGTGAGGTTCTGAAGTTTGTTGATCCTCACTGTTAGGTTCCTGGAGGAGGGTGATCAGTAACCTTTGTCAACGGACAGATTGATGAACTGGCCAGCGGGGGCAGGGACCTCCTGGGGATGATGTGCCACTTGGCTGTTAGTCCCCGTTCCCTGTCTCATTCCTGATCGTGGACATTTTGGGGGTCTCTACCTGTCTGTCCACACAGTGGACCATAGCTGCTTTGAGGGTCAGGACCTTGTCTTGTGCTTTCATGTTCCCAAAACTTTTATGGACGTAGTAAATAAATGAGCATCCTAAGGAAGCTCCTGAGAACTCTGCCCTGAAAGGCCAGATAGACAGCCCGAAACCTAGCCAATGAAATGGAACTGCCCAAGCCTTCCTTCCATGTTTGCTTTGCTTCATTGTTTTAAGATTTCTTGTGCTGCCTGGGACACTGTGTTGGAAGCTATAGGGGATGCAAAGAGATAAGAACACAGTCCATCCTGTCTTCCAGGGCTTGAGATCAGATGGGGAGAGAGGACACATATACCGATTGCCACAGCCGAAGCCAGTGCATGAAGACTCCTAACCCCCTGGCCTGGGATTATATGTTAGCCTCATCTCTGTTTATATGT